TATAAAAAAGTAAAAAAAATGTTTAAAATTTTAAAAATATTCACTAAAAATAAAAGAATACGAAAATTAAAAAACTCAATTTAAAAAAAATTTAATTCAAAAAACACAAACTAAACAGACTGATTGATTTACTATTTATTTACTTTTTTTTCTTTTTTCCCCCATTGTGTTCCCCCATTGTGTGAAGAAAGTATGATGAAAGAAATTGATGATGAAAGTCAAACCGTTGCAAAAGTATTTCTCTCAAATTTCTCACAATTCGAAGACATTATGGCATGGCTTTGGCAAGTGGGTTTGGATAAGTTTGAAATTATTTTAGTTAAAAAAATAAAATAAATTATTTTAATTATAACAAACAAAATATCACATTCAACACATAATTATTATATTTTTTTCTTACAAAAAAAATTTAAAAATATCAAAAATTCAAAAAACCCTTCTCAAATCAAATTTTTTAACTCAGGTTAAAATAATCAAAAAAAATCAAAAAATCAACTCACTCTCTAAACGAAGCCTATATATATAGTATAAAAATAAAACCACACTATTATAATTTAGGGAGAGATTTTTCTCCAATACAAATTGGATTGGAAAAAGTTGTTGCGTCTATGTGAGTTCACCACAAAATCTGTATCACTAATTTAAATAGTTTAATGTGTATAATTTATTGAATATTTTACCTTTATAAAAAAATTACGTTAATCATATATTGATAGTCATTTGATCAAATTACATTTATATCAACAGTAAATATAATTTTAAAAATAAATTATTAATAAAAATTCATTTTGATGAGTAATTATCAATATCCAATCAATACAATTTTTTTTAAAAATAAAATAATCAATAATTTATATGCATTAAATAATTCAAATTATATCTGTGATGGGCCACAAAGCACCCTCAAGTTGGGAACCCAAGCCCTATAATATATGGGTACATACAAATTTAGGCCAAATTTGAAACCCACGAAAAATCTAAAAAGTCAAAAAATTATTTAAAAAGTTAAAAAATTAACACTATTCATCAAAAATCAAAATTTACGACTACATAATTTTCAATTTTAATTTTTTCCTACACACTAATTTATACAATTTTTTAATACATATTTTTTCATAAAAAATCAAAAAGTTAACCCAAACATTCATATTTTTTTTCTCAATTTTTTAGTCTAAAAAAATAAAAAATGCACTTATTTAAAACACGCCAAACAATCCCTTAATTTCCCAGCATGGCTTGAAATATATAGATCAATAAATAAAAATTTCAACATAAATCTATAATACCCACCGACCAAAAAAAGAAGTCAATAATAAGAAGGCTTATTTCCACAACTTCTCCCAAGTCGGTCAAAAATACATTATTTTAATTTGACTCCACTTTACAATAAACTCCTAATTAAAAAGTCATGTTGAAACCTTTGTTCAACATCCATTTGGAAGACCCTAAACACATAAGGTTTATTCACCCAAAAAAAAAAAAAACTAATTCCTAACACGACCAAAAACAAATTATAAAAAAAAAAAGATCAGTGTTCGGAGAGAGGTCGCCGGAAATGGAAGCAGTGCTCTCTCTCTCTCTCTCTTGAAGATTTTCAAGAAGTAGACTGTGTTTGTTGATTCCCAGATCGACCCATAAACTGCAATTCCTTTTTATCATAAATCTCCAAAGAAAAGTCCCTCAGCATCTGAGCTTTGTTGTTGCTCCCAGAGCTCACGCTCGCCGGAGCCATACTCGACTTCTTCGTCCCAAACGTCGCTCCCGACACCGCCGGCGACGGGGCCCTAATTTCCACCCCACCACCCACCGGCTGCGGCGCCGACACAAACGACGAGATCGGCCTCGCTGACACATCAAAAACCGGCGTCACCGACGGCGAAATCGCCCATAACTGCGGCTGATTCAATCCCGCCACCGGTCTCGCCGCCGTGTGCGGCGGCGGCGGAATCATCCAGAACGCGTTCGACGGAATCATCATCCCGGCGTTACTCACCGCCCAAACCGGCACCAATCCTTGCGGCGGCGCAACCGCCGCAGGGACCACAGGAGCCAGCCCCGCCGTCTGAGAAACGCCGTCGTTCGTGCCGGCGACGTCGTAAAACTCGCTGTTCGACGCCCTTCGCCGCCGCTTTCGGCCTTCGATCTCCTCCTGCTTCGCCGTCGATGATGTTGTGGGGATTTTCAGTGTACCGCCGACCGAGACAGCGATGGCCGGTACGGTACCGGTACCGGTGGCCTCGATGATGGCTTGCTCAGCGTGTTCTAAAAGCCACCGCACAGTCTCGCCGTCGGACTTGTGGCCGAGTTCCCGGGTCAGTTGGAAGATCCGAGCGGCGCAAGTCGCGGGTATTCGGATCCTCCTCCCTCGCCCCTCCACCTTCGTATGGCGGTCCTTTGTCGACGACCGCCGCGCCGCGGCGGCGACCGGCGACGCCACTTGAATGGGTAGTTGCATCTGCATCAGAGGCACCATGCCAATCGGAGTTTGCGATTCCGGGTTGTTGATGTTGATAGGTTTTTGATCCGGTGATTCGGGTTCCGAATCAATCGGTTCTTCCTTCAAAACCGGCGGTGGGTTTTGATCTTCCATAGACGAAACGTTTGTGAATCCATTGTTGTTGTTGTTGTCCTCGGAGGAGCTGAGATCGGAGGTGCCAACGTCGTCGTCTGGTTCGAACTCGTGTTCTTGAAACGACGACATGAGAGAGAGAGAGAGAGAGAGAAGCTTATTTGGTTATGGATTGGAATTAGCAAAGAAAGGAAGAGGAAGAGAGGGTTATAATTGGAAAGAAAACAACCCTAGAAGAACTATAACCAAATTCTTAGGAGAGAGGCAGAGAGAGAGAGAGAGAGATATTTGTAATCTTTGTATGCTGGGAAACTTGAAAGAAGATAGATCAACGGTGGACTTTGCATGATATTGGTTATAAAGCAATAGGATGGTGACACGTGTTGAGTGTGAGTGTGGTGGTGGTGCCTTACTTCTTGGGTTATCATCGTAGGACCGCAGTGGGGACAGACAGGTGGGGTCAGCCAATTGGCTACAATTATAGTGGTACCAGAACCAGAAAAGTTTGCGAAAAGTTTTTGATATATGATGCACTGAATGGATTTGATTGGTTGAGACCACCAATGCTTTGTGGTCCGTCAACTAGCAGAAAGTTAGAATCTTCTCCAGTTGCAATTCTTTAATGGGTTATTTTTTTTATTTTTGATTAATATCACTTCAATATCTTAAATTAGGGAATGGCTATGACGTGCCGTATTTTTATAATTACATAAAAAAAAATAGTATAATTTTATATTTTTTGAATTATAATTAAAAAAATTATAATTAAATATCACATAAGGTATAATAAAAGATCTCATAAATTATAATTAAAATATTATCATAATTAAAGAAAAAAATTAGTTATAACTAAATAAGAGGATGACATAATTAAAAATGCATATAATAGACTCATTAAGAGATGTGTATATTAAAATTTTTCTTTGCATTATTATCATTTTTTTTAATTCCTAGACTACCAGTTGCATCTATTTAGTATTTAATTTTTCTTATTTTAGTTCATATAATTAAATTGTAGACTATCCATCTAAATTAATAACACTTAAAGCTTAACCTAATGACCAAAACAATAATTTTACAATTTGGACAAGGAAAATGATAACTTACATCCTATAACCACATATTCTTTTCCATATTTTATTTCCAAATAATGAATTAATTGTATAGTTTAAGTTGTTTAAATTTTAAAATGATTTTTTTAACTATTAAAGTTGCTTTTAACGATTATTGATTGGTCATACAGTCTCTAATTTGACTATATGAACACAAAAATGGTGAATTACACCAACAGTTCCTATAATTTGGGATTTGTGTCACTTTGATCCTTGACTTTTTAATTGTGACATATTTGATCCTAAATTTTGAATCTTATTCCAAATAAGGATAATTGAAGATACTATTAGATTTTTCAAGGGCAAATTTGTCAATTTAATAAAATATAAATTAATTTGACAAAAATAAATGTCAAAAAATTATTTTTGAATTTTTTAAATTATTTCTACCTACTAAAGATAAAATTGTATAAAATTGATAAATCTTTTACACATTTATTTTTTTACCAAATTAATTTTTATTATATATTTGGATGATAATCATGTAAAATTAATATTTAAAAATTAATCATGTAATTTTTATTCATTTTTATCAATTTTACATAATTTTATCTTTAGTGGGTAAAAATAATTTTTAAAAATTTTAAAATATTTTTTTGGCATTTATTTTTGTCAAATTAGTTTATATTTTATCAAATTGAAAATTTTGCCCTTGAAATTAAGCAACGGTATGTTCAATTGTCCTTATTTGAAATAAGATTCAAAATTCATGATCAAATGTGCCATAATTGAAAAGTTAGGGACTAAAGTAACACGAGTCTCAAACTATAGAGACTACTAGTATAATTTACCCCCACAAAAAAGAAACTTGCGGGACTAAATAGACAAAAATTATAGTTTATAGAATAGAATAATAGGAAAAATGATGATATATTAAGGGATAAAAGTGTAATTAATCCTTTTTTGGGTCTGAAGTACAGTTAAAAGTTTGGCTGGGTGGGTTTTTGATTCGGAGTCCAACACGAAGCCCAATAAAGATGTGGATGGATAGACTCTCCAAACCCAAGTCGTAATCATTTTCAAATAATATACAGATTTTGATCACACGTAATGTACGTGCAATGATTTTTTTGTAATGAATTTTATTTATTTATTTTTTATAATCATTTAATAAGAAGGATGGAACCTCATGAAGTTATCTGGATGTCATGGCATTTGTTAAAAATTACCGGAGAGGCTTGATGCCAGAAGTTTACAAGTTGTTCAACAAAAAAAAAAAAAACAAAGAAGAACAAGAAGACATTACATATCAATGTAGCCATTTTATTTTTGACCACTCTTAAAATTTGGACGTCTCAAGTTGATCACTCAATGATGAAAGCTACACTGTACAATTATTCAATTTCTTTAGCAAAAAGAGTTTCTAAATCCCAATTATACATCCCATTATAACCAAAACTATTTTAGATCTTAAAATTCTTTTTTCAAAATATTTTTTCAAATATTTTTATGATGTTTTGAGGCTCGCATTTCGTTTAAAATATTACGCTTTTCGGTAAACCGAGTAAAAGACAAAGTGAAAATAAATGAAAAGGAGGTGAACTTTTTAAAAAATCTTAGGAAATAGGAGGGGGGATGGAAGAAAATTAGTTGGAGAAAAGGTTGGCTATCAAACCGTTAGGATAGAAATGAGCGGCCTTCACTAAAATAGGCATATCTACTTGCACACTTAGAATTTAGATGTGAGGCCACCACCATTGAAAACTATACTTTCGGGGCTTCAATTTAGACTCAAGAATCACCTGAAACTGAGTCCGGATAAAGAAGGTATGGCCGTTTGAAGTCGAACCTGGAAGTAGATTTTTGTGAACGGCCAGCCACTAATAGTGTACGGCTGGTCAGTTGTGAAAAATTAGGCCATTTTGAGTAGATTGGCCAGCCAAATATCCCTACAAGTGTACAGCCGGCCAGAAAAAGTGTACGACCGACCAGAAGAAGTGGTCTGCCGACCATTTGTGTCAAAAACCAGATTTTTGCATATATTTGTTGCCATTTGTTCCCACAGGTGCATGCACTGCACCAGTTATCTATATATAGATATTTCCAATAAAGGCACATGTTTTTCTATATATAGATGACCACTCCTCTTGAAATTAGGTTAGAAAAAAATTCCTGAAGCTTCAATACTTGCATAGCACTCTCTCTCTATCTTGCAACCTATACACTCTCTCTCTACACTTCCTAAACAAAAAATTTAGCTCTTCTTATTGAGGTTCTTGAGCTCAAATCTCAGCTCTTAAGAATGAGAACTTGTTGGCTTGTCAACAAAGGAGTTACCTCTTTTCAAGAGGTACAATTTTGAGTATCTCTACAATACTTCCCCCTATATTTTATTGCTGTTTTTGTACTATTTTTCATATGTGTTTATGGACTGAAACTTGTGGTTTAAGGCTGTACGGGGAGCAAATATTCCGGCAAGCCCGTACTCCTTTCTTCCGAGCTCCGTCTCTGTCCGATCACCTGCGAGCCAATAAGGGTGAGCTACCCGGCAGTGTGTGGCTGGAAAAACCCTCCGACGATCAAGTTAGCACACACCTTAGGATAGAGAGAGAGAGGAGTGTTTAAGTGTAAGAATTTCTTTACCAAAATGTTCGTGTGTCTGCGTACGGGGGGTGTCAACATGCATATATACCCTCTGCGCCCCATATCTACTCCCAGTCATCTCCTGACACGTGGTTCCGCTATCCCATCTGTCAGCATAAACCTTGCTGAACATCACCTAATCTCAACTGTCTGCCTTCACAGCTGGAGCTCGGCAGCCGAGCAGCTCTATCCACTGTCGTGCCGTGCTTCATACCCAAGCACTTCACTGGCTAAGCCTAAGGAGGACCGAGCTAGGCTGCATAGCCCGAGACACCTCCTGTGGTCGGCCTTACTGCCGATCAAATGATTACCTCGGCTAACCACGCCTTTCCGGGCACCGGTCATTCAGCTTGACTGGCTCCGCCTTTGCCTAATCAAGGAGCTCGGTCCAACCGAGCACTTCCTGCCGAGCAGCTTCTTTACGGTCTGGTCGGCACATGCTTGGCCCAATTTCTGCCCGGCCCAATTCCTGGCAGCCTGTCAGCGGGCGGATCGCCGGTCATCTCGGCCCCATGCACCATTAGACTCTCAACCTGCTCGGCCATTACGTCAGCCCAATTCCAGACCATAAATCTCCCTCTCAATTGCCCCTTAATTCCGCCCGCGCAAGCGTGATTGGGATTACCTATACTTCGACCGGGGTAACATTTCTTCGGTCTTCAAAATGCCAAAGGGCGACCGGGCTAGTTAATCATTACTGTCTGCAAACTTGCCCGGTTGTCCTCCTCGGCTGACATCCTCTTCTTTGAAAGTATCCCGGTTGGCTCTTCAACTCTTCAAACTGTCTCTTCAGTTCTGACGTTTCCATAAATGGGGACACGTGGTGGGCTGCCATTGGTCCTCGAGCAACCAACCCACCTTTTTTACCAGAATTTGAATTTGGGCTGCCTCACTTGCCTACATATACCAGACCCCTCTTGTTCAATTTCTTCCTACTGCTTCTCTTCTATCTGATGCTTCGGAGCTCAAGCAACTTCCTCCCAGCCTCGACTGCCATTCTTCGTGCTTGAAGGAACAGTTTCTGCCCTTCACAGGTAAGACCTTCGATCCCTCTTTAGTTACTATCTTCTTTAGTATTACACACATTAGGGCACTAAAACGTAGCTCTTAGGGCATAGGCCATAGAAACCGTCCCAAACCTCCCACTATTCTTGGTGTTCTTTATTTTCCTGAAGAACACTGTGGAACTGGGGCGGACCGGGCTCCTGGTCTTCATTTGATCCAAAAAACCAATCTAACCGAGCAAATAACATGTTTGCCTATATCCCAGCAAAAATCGAGATAACAAAAGGACTTGGCCGCTCAACCGGGCTAACATCTGGTCTGCTTGGGCGATCGAGCTCCTTAGTTAGAATAGACAACCGAGGTGATTTGGCACTCTTAATGACCGAGCTAAAGTCCAGCTCCTTTTGCGCGACCGCGCTCACACTTACACTTGCCATCCTTTTCCTGCAGAGTCCAAGGGGACCACTGTCATTCCTGAGGCTCTCAGGACCAAGCAGTAACCAATTACCACAGTGCCAAACCCCTCAGCCGGGCTATACTAAGCCGGCCACAAATGGGGAAATTCCGC